CCGGCCGGCTCGACGACGCCGTGCACCTCCTCTACTCCATGTTGTGGAGGATCTCTCGAAAGGGCTGCGACGCTGACGTCGTCGTCTACCGCACGCTCCTTGAGTCCCTCTGCGCCGCAGGAAGGGTCGAATTGGCGGAGGAGATACTTGGCAAGGTGCTGAAGAAGGGGCTCAGGTCGCCGCGAGCGAGACAAGCGTTCCAAAGGCCGGTTCTTTCCATCGCGGCTAACCTGGAGGAGATGAAGAGGATAATTGACGAGGCGCTTGTGGTGCGTGGGATTAGAAGCCTCGCGAGCTATGATGCCATGATAACAGATTTGTATGCGGAGAGTGAGTTTACTCACGCTGGTAAGATGCTTGATGAAATGACACAGAAGGGATTTAGACCGCCGATATCCATCTATGAGGCAAAGATAGCTGCGCTTTGCAGGGAAGGGAGGGTGGAGGATGGAATGAGAGTGTTGGAGGTGGAAATTGTGGAGAGTGGATGTGTGCCTACGGTGAGATCCTATAACCTGGTGATGGAGGGGCTTTGCATGAAAGGGGAATCGACAAGAGCAATGGGTTATCTGGATAGAATGGATAAACAGCTTGGTTGTGTTGCCCCGAAACAGTCATATGAGATTCTGGTGACTGGTTTCTGCGCTGAAGGACTTTATCTTGAGGCGGCTCATGTCTTGGAGAAGATGCACAAGAGGAAATATTGGCCCGAGTGTACAATTTTTGTTAGTGTGATTCAAGGACTCTGCTCCATTGGAACTATGTATGAAGCCCTATTATGGCTTGAGGAAATGATCAGCCAAGGAAAGATTCCGGTGGCTTCTATGTGGAGCTCATTGGTATCTATGCTGTTTGGTGCGCCAAAGATTGAAAATGATCCATACATGGCTTCTCTGCTGCATGATTTATTAGCCGTTGATTGAAGAACTTTTGTAAGTTCTACTTTCACCATCAAGTTTAAAAATACTATTGCTTAATGAACACTCAGATAAGTATATAGCTGCAGTTTTCTCTACAATTCAGCCTAGAATTTGCCAATGTTCACTTTTTAACATATTTATGTAAAAGTAGAATTGGTTAATTTTATTTCAAGGAAGATGTAAGATGTACAGTTACTATTACTAAATTTGTTGTACCTTTTGCTTACTTAACATTTGATATATTCCAAGTGTGTTTCTGAGAAAACAACTAGAAAATAATAAGATCAATACATACTACCTTCTTGCACACAGTTATGCTGGTTTTCAGGTGGTTCGCTGCCTGCAATTTCGGTAGCAAATCAGACCTCTACACCTGTCCCATAAGTATAACTACCTCAGAAAGTTGGTTACATAATATCTGTTCATATATATGCATTTACAACAGTGTAAGGAGACGGGACAGAAAATGAACTTCCTCACCTATCTTTTATTCTTCGGTGTTCCTTTTATCTCTAAGCTTGCAGGTTACATGTTCATCTTTCGCTTTGGCTTCGAACTTCAGGATATGCAAAAGAAGCTTCAGCAGCAGAACAGAGGTCTTAGCAAGGCTGAACAGATGCTGATTGGTCTTTTCAACAGAAAAAGGTGAATGTTAAATTAAATTTGGCTGATGTTTTTTTATTTGACAAGTAGTTTTCCTCCACCCTTGCTCATGATATTAATATTTTCAAGGTTGGAAATCTTGCTTGAAAAGAATAAGATTTTACGTTTCCATTGCATGGGAAACTCTTGCCATGCTTATGACTATTTAAAGCATATGATCATTATTCCAGGGGCTATGTTGCATCAGAGTTCATAGGCGATTTATGGTTATGATCAGGTGAAAGTACATTCTCTTTTAACTCTTTAGGAAGATGGTGCTTACCAGTTTTTTTGATCATTTTTTTTGTTCTTGTTGTAATGAAAGCAGCCAATTTATCTCTCTTCGCAAGCACAAAAGGGAGCTATGTGATTTACCTAGGCAAAACAAAATTAGCACTATGCATATATATGATATTGAAATATTATGCACAAGTCCATAAATACAAGAGGATCATAATTTATGTGGTTTGGTCAAGATTGATTTGCATCCACATGACTAGGAGGAACAAATAATTTCACTTTCAATTATATGTGGGAGTACAAAATAATTGCACCAAAATGTACAAAATTTCTTAACAGAAATCTACCAGGGAGGCGTGGCAAAAATTTAACCAAATGTGAAGCAATCTTTCTCAAAGAGAGATAAAACGAAGATAAGAGAAATTTATTTTTTTTCCACTAGTTCTCTTAGCAAAAAAGAAGAAACCAATAATCCCTCAATTTTCCCCAATTCTCTTCTTTCTTGCACGGGGAAGTCGCATTCTCCAACCCAATTGATACGTTGGAAACATTTGATTTTTCTCTATGTTCTCATGCATGGTTCCTTGAAAAAATTATTTATCTTTAACTCCATCGTTAGCATTAGAGCCATTGGTTATATAAGATTAAATTAGGGCATTAGAGGGAATTGTAAAATCACCCTTTATAATTTGATATGATGCCAACAATTTTTTTACCTAATATCAAATTCTTCTTATCAATAAAGAAATAAAGTAAATAGCCAGATATACTCAATCAATATTGGCCTCCCCACCTGATTCCATAAATGGAATCAATGGCTACAAAAACAAATCAAGTTCAGGTATTGCCAACACTTGAGAATAGGGATCACATTAGTAAACATGTCCATGAAATTATGCACCATGCAAATTTCTGAGATAAATTTATCCTTGATGAAATGGTAGTTCATATGAATATGCTTGATTTTCTCATAGCACTTTTGGTCTCCAAGTGAATTGTGCTCTTATCTAAAAAAAATCATTAAGTTGTCCTAATGCAGGCTCTAGTTTCCAACTAGGCCTCTCAACTAAATAGTTTTCTTGATAGCTTAAAAAAATGTTATCCAAGTAGAAAAACAATTGCATGCTATAAAAAAACTTTTTAATTAAAGGAAAAAGTCTAGGAAGTGAACTATCTTGCTTTACAGTTTGCAAATCAAATCTTTATAACACCTCAACAATCTCTCTTATTTTTTAAAAATAATATTTTTATGTTTCTATTTCTTAGAATCTTCAGTCTCGAAATCTTATCAGCAAAGCCAAGTTCTATATATTTTATCGCCGCACTCAGTTCATCTCTGAAGTTTTGATATGGATATCTTTGGTTGTAATCAACGCACAAGAGTAAATAGACTTGTTGTGGCGACGCATAACTATTAATTTGACTTCTTATGAATCGATGGATGATCTTAGAACTGTCAAAACGGCACGGTGAAGAAGGAGGAGGAGGACAAAGCTGCTCTGGAACAGGGAGGATAAACATTTCCTTCATTTCTCAACCTTTGGAGCAGCCGCAGCAACAACAATTCAAAGCTACCATAGATCCACAATACACCCTACACCTTCCATCATCTTCTTGGAGACGGCCTTCGGTGCTACCTTCAACATTTTCTCGGGCACCTCCATTTTCTGGCGACATGTTATTAGGCTTGCCGCCCACCACAAATCAACCCACCAAAATTGGTCACCGGCGGCGATCAAGTCCAAGCTGATGACCACCTCCTACAGTCAAGATTACTTGAATTCCTCTATCGTTGACATCATCACCGAATTGCCGGCAACGCCTTATGTATGCAGCAATATCAGGTATGTGGTGGGCAAAGCTCCTAATTTTATGATATGTTATGAGCCCAAAGAAGATTTTACTGCTTTGGAAACGAGACAGAATTAATTTCTTAATGCTGTTCCAGATATATATGACTAAAGTTGATGAAATTAGTATATTTTTCAAGTCAGCTGTGGTAAGTCTAGTCAAAGTTCATGGTATTGGCAGATTTAGTGAGGACAATTAATGTTTTTCTTGAGCCTTGCCATCGGTCTACCATAATGGATTAGAAGACTTTAAAGTTTGATCATTGAGAATTTAATTAAAATGAAAAATATGGATTAGAGTTTCATGATTTATTTTGATATTTTAGCGAGGATTTGAAAATTAGATGGAAGTGAGTGCTCATTTTGTAAAGAGCAACATTTCAAATGCTACGCATGCAATTACCCCTTTAAATTTATATATTGTGACATATTTACTAAACATCAAAATGCTAGTTCCAAAAATATAGCTCATAAACTGCTTGTATATAATACAGGGGATTTGAATGCATGACACAACATGTAAACATAAGAATTTTCATTTTTCGAATCTAAATTTGCTACTTATATTCATAGCATCCAAAATATCAATTTAAAATAAAAAAATGATTCCTGTACCCATCCTTTTAGTCATTGGGCCGTCTAATCTGGAAAAATTATTGTATACGGACACCACATGCAAAGATGCATGCAGTGTCCGACCTACACAGTAGATCACAGTGATCTACGGTGATGATGTATTTCGGTGGGCCCCATTTTAAATTTTTTTATAATAAAAAAAATTTGATTGCATCATCGCCGTAGATCACCGTGATACGGTGTAGATCGTACACCGCATGCTTCTCTGCATGCGGTGTCCATATGCAATAATTTGTCTCTAATCTGAGTCGCCACCGAGGGTTGTAGGTTGTAAAAAGCAATGATAAGAATATAATGGATTTGGGTGTTGAAGTGCTTCCAAAAAAACAATAATGTTTATGTATATCGCGAATGTGGCCCCTTGAATCTCGAGGAGATCAATTGATCAAGGAGATGAAAATTATAATAATGGGCACCACCAGGGCGGCTCATCTATCCAACTAATGTAGTCCGAACCAAAGCCCCAACCAAAGCTGACCGTACATGGCCATTCGAGCTACTACGTAAAATAAAAGACATCCAGATGGTTCGAGCCCAAAATTAAGGAAAGACAACTCCTCAATATCATTAGTAATCTTGTGGATGCCCTAAAGGCTCTTTATCGGGGATTGAGAAGCAATCATGTCACAAGAAATCTAATTATCCCTCCAGCTCTTATTGTTGGGGAGTGAAGTACCTATCGGGTTACGGCGATTCACCCTCTGCACAATAACCTGGTCTCGCTATACTAGGTATTGATGGTAAACAATCATATTAAATTAGTCAATCAAGAAAGTCAAATAAATCGAGTCAATTATATCGACCCAAAGAAAATCAAAGGCTAACTAGCAACCTCGACTCAACATAGTCGAGCAAGCATGCCTCACTAAACCAAGACCCATTGATCTCAGCTGATCGGGTCAAAAGGTAGCCAAGCTGCAGGCCCATGCATATAAAATTACCTAAAATACCTTGTAATGCTTCCATTAAAGTAGGGTTAAATATGTAAATTCATAGTATAATACAAGAGAAAAATAAAGGTAGAGAATGGGCTCACAATGCTTGTCTTAATTGAGGAAGGAGAAGAAAGAGTGAGAGAGAGAGTTGTTAGGGTTTCGAAGGATGCAGAGGCAAGCGAGATGAGGCGAAGTGACTCCCCACCCTTCGACCTCTATTTATAGGGATTTGAGGCGGTGGGCTAGATCAATTCAGGAAGGCGACAAATTAAAGAGAGGATTTGCGAGTAGTGAAGAAAAGAGAAGCGATCCAAATTCAGAAGGTGACAACGAGCATGGAGGAAAGAAAAGGAAAGCTCATGGGAAATTGTGTGAGGTTCAAATCCGGACGGCGGGAGATCTCGGCTTAATAGCTGTAAAGGCAATCAAATTTGGATCTTACATCAAGGCTTTAAAGGCTATAATTATTGATTAGTTTATAAAGCATATGTGATATGTGATGATATAAATATTTATTGACACGAGTCATGTGAGATTTGTGCCGCATTTGATAATGAAGAATGAAATCATTTCGGAGTTATTTGGTCAACCTACTCAATCTGATTCGCATTGCAAGAGACATCTCATGAGGGGGCTTATAATCTACTCGAGTACGCAAGTTTAACCGCTCTAGTATTACTTTTTATCAATCACATTTTTATATAATACATTAAAAATACTAATAATATTACTATTTTTATGCTAAATATATGCAATTGATAGACACAACATCAAACCAGAGATCTATAAAAAATGTCTTTGATGCCAGCAAATATTAATTCTTAATAATGCAAAAAACTTAAGGCACATCATCTTCTGATTAAAGTAAAAACGAGTCGTCAAAATCATTTGACACATCAGAGCATAAATTCTAAAGAGAATTAAAAATAAAATAAAATAAAATAAAAACCAAATTAAGATTCGTCTTGTACACGGTTCTAAGCTTAAGAAGCTGTGTATGATTCTTAATATCTTGAATCTAGATGCGGTGGAGTTCTAAATATTTTTGTTTTTGTCTATTCATAAATGTAGAGTAATGCTAAGATGATGAGGAAATTGACCATCTTAATGATCTATAATTATAGAAAAATTCATTTGTAATAGGGAAGCCTTAAAAGAAAAGTCTGGCCTCCATATAACGCTTTTTTTAGAGCAAATAACATTAGTAAAGGCATTTACATACATACCACTCAATTCCTATGAATTTACATATCTAAATTAACAATTTTATTTTTTTTACATTTATACGACCCAAATCTTTCATATCACATAAAAATAAAATATCATTTTTTTTTACTTTTCAGCAATGAAATACGCCTAATGTAGAGGAAAGGTGATATATATGTACAAAATGAAGTTCATGTATTAGATATGTAAATACATAAGAGTTGAATGGTATGAGCGTAAATCTTCGTTGAAATCAATGTTTCTTGATTCAATTAGAAACAAAGTGAAAGAAAGCAAGAGGAACATCTAATTCACAACTAGAAGAACATATAAGAAATGATCTCGTTCACCTGTATAGGGTATAGTAAAACCGTAATTTAATATAATACAATTTCACTCTTAATAATTGACGAGGAAAACCAAAGTTAAGAATCGGGCTGCATATAGTTGTGGAGAAGAAGCTGACTATTTGAGAGACTCAGGTAAGTTGCATTCAACCAGAACCAGGAATGCACTCTATTACCCTCCCTCAAGGTGTTGATCCACGGTTTAAGTCGTCAAGATGGAGGTGAGTTTATGGTGATGTAGGATAGATAGCAGTTTCATGAGGATATCAACGAGTTGATCTTCGAATATGATGTGATGAATGGAGATGTGTCCTAGCTTTAGATGATCTAGTATAAAATGGTAATCCACTTCAAAATGGTTTGTTCTAGCTTGGAAGTCAGGGTTGTGGGCGAGTGAGATGACAAATGTGCTGTCGTTGTAGATCGTGATTAAGGTATAAGAAATTCGATGAGCTCTTGTGGAATTCATCGTTGCCAAATGACCTTTGTTTTGGTTGTGGCGAGAGCCCTATACTTTGCTTCTGTGGAAGGTTTTGCAACTGTGGTCTGCTTCTTAGCCGACCATGAGATGTTGCCTAGGTAATGTCTGCCCAATCTGCATCTGCATAAGCAGTTAAAGTAGTGGAGCCTGACTAAATGGCGAGCCCATGAGTAGAAGTACCTTTTTAGATAATAAAGTAGCCGTTTTAAGTGTTGATGATGAAGCATGTTGGGCTTTTGCATGTGTTGGCTAAGAAAGTTGATGGTGAAAGTAAATATCAGGGCATGTGACTGTAAGGTATTGAAGGAACCAATGATTTTTCTAAGCTCATAAGAGTCGATGTGGGGAGTAGATTTGAGATTGTGTTTAGTAGAAAGAGGAGAAAGAACATGATTGAATTGAGGCATGCCGATTGTGGTGAGTAGATCTGTGATGCAATTAGTTTGACGCATAATGTATCCTATAGAGATGGATTGAATTTGTAACCCAAGAAAATTAGATATGCTTCCAAATTGTTTTGGATTAAATTTTTTTGACTCAGATGATGAATGATAGAGTTTATAATAGTAAGAGAATTACCAGTGATCATAATGTCATCGATATATATAGAAGTAAATTCTTATATCATGTTGATGATATAGTAAAAGGAGGGTTCCATTATGCTTAATCTAAATATGTGTGTGTATAGGAATTTACAAAATGTGGAATACCATTGTCTCGGGGCATGTTTTAGACTATAAATAGCTTTGTGTAATTTACAAACATGATTGGGAATTTGAGTATTAGTGAAGCATGGAGGTTGATTCATTTAAACAATATTATCCTATTTTACATGAGGAAAAGTGTTAGAGGCATTAAGTTGTTGATATTGCCATTTTACATTTGTGGCAACTGTGATAAGAATCCAAATGGTGGGGAATTTATCTACAGAGCTAAACACCTCTTGATAATCAATCCCATGTTTTTGAGAGCTGCTTTGAGCAAAGAGACGACCTTATGTCTAGCTATGTAACCATTGTAAGGATATTTAATTTTGAAAGTCCATTGACCATGTGCCTTTGTTGTTGAAGTGCAAGGAAATCATCCAACATTGCTTGTTTCCAATGAAGTTGATTCATGGCTTGATAGAAGGTGAAGGGAGTGTCATAAATGGTAAGATGTTGAAGATTAAGAAATTTAGTGGGTTTTAATGATTCTATTTTGGATCAATTAGTCATGGAATGAGTGCTTGGGGCATGGAGGAAGCATTGGATGGTAGAGGAACCAGAGTTGTGGGTAGAATGGTTGACGGGTCTCGTGATGGAGGAGAAGATAACTGAGTAGTGTTAGAAGTTGAGAGGTGAGAAGGAGATAGAGAGAGAAACAAGTTAAGTGTTGATCATGGGAAAGGGGTTGTAAATAGTGGAAGTGGGAAGCATGAAGGAAGAAGTAATGGCTTTATTCGAGTCTTCGGATAATTTAAAGTGCATTTGGGACAGTGGTGCAATGTCACACCGCAGTTTTTTTTGATAAAACTACATTTTGCCTGCATTTT